AGAGAGAGAGAGAGAGAGAGAGAGAGAGAGAGAGAGAGAGAGAGAGAGAGAGAGAGACTGGAGATTGAACTCAGGGCCACTCAGCTATAGCCCCAGCTCTTCTTTTATTTTTTACTTTGAGACAAGGGTCTCGCTATATCACTGTGTTCCCAGGCTGGGCTCAAACTTGTGATCCTCCTGCTTCAGCCTCCCAGAGGATGGGGATTACAGGTGTGCACCATCATTCCTGGCTTCAAGTGTCATTCCTATGGCTGTAGTTTTCCTTTCCCTTTCCTTTTTTTTCCAGCCTCCGCCCCTCTGACACTGAGCCAAAGACCCAGGAATCCCTGGGTCTTCTCTCTGAATCCACATCTTCCTTGCTGACATTCAGACAACTCTCCCCAAGCCCAGCAGTCAGCAGGACACAGGGGTGTGGTGTGGGTGTACCCTACTCCCACAGCTCTTAAATCTTCTAACCCCACACTTTGCAGTGTTTCCAGTTTTTCCACCTTTATTGCACACTAACTCTATACTGACCATTTTAATTGGTCCTAGTCCTTTAACCTTGTATTATACTCCTCAATCCTGAGACTTAAACACCTGATTCAGGAGCAGTAATGGATGAGACTGAGCATCCCTCTGACCAGTAGAATCTCACATGTTACATGTTTGTTTACCTCTTAAAATGCAAATTAAACTGCACCTCACACTGCCTGTCTCGGCACTAATCTGGTTTACTCGTTCCAGTCAACTGTGAAGCCCTCCCTGAGCCAGGAGTCTGGCATCCTTGACACCACTAAGCTACACTGGCCTTTGCAAAGTTTATGGCCAGCATGAAAAATGAGAAATGGGCTCACAGATGAACGGCCTCAGGGTTGGTGTTTACATATATATGTCTTGAAGGGCTTTTTCTCTTGAGTAAGGTTGTGTGTGTGTGTGTGTGTGTGTGTGTGTGTGTGTGTGTGACCAAGGATTTCAATCAAAACCAGTTGCCTGAATAGAAGGTATAATTTATTTTGTAAGTAGAAATCAATACTTATTTCTGAATAGTAGCAAGTGGAGAAATGATTAGCATATTTTATACAAGAATTGCATTTCAACCTAAATTCTGTGTTTAGGATCCTAGGACTCTTCATCCGAGGCATTGAAGAAAACAGCAGGTGCAAGCAGGAGGGACTCTTTCAGGAAAATGAATGCATTGTAAAAATCAACAATGTGGATCTCGTAGACAAAACTTTTGCTCAGTAAGCATTTTTTCATTGTTTTATTTACTTTATTGATCCCTAGAACAGTTATAATCATTACTATACTCATTATGATCAAAATCATAGGGGGAATTTGTGGTCAGTTCCCTTTAAATGACCCCAGACAGTCACTTTCAAATGCATTTTATGTTTGAGTGTACTCAAAGGTGGCCCACACATGTTTCCGACATCCCCAGGAATGTTAAACCTTATAGAGCAAGGCTTCCTGTCTGGTTGTCTTACTGGGTTATCTATGGAGGGGTTTGTTTTTCTTGGGCTATGGGTCAGTTAGACTGGTATTTAATGGCTCTTTTCACAGACTATTAGTTCAACTTATTAATTAACTTATTTGATGTCGACAACCTCCCTTGAACTAAACAATCTGTGGTAGATACCTATGAGGACTCAGTGAATGGAAGAATATAAAAAAATTAAAATACTCTCCCCAAAGAATTCATCTCTTTAAATGTGAAAATGTTAGGGGAATAACTTTCTGTATGCAAGAACTGGAATATACAGTGTTAGGAAGTGTCTGTATTTTTTAACATGTGTTGGGATTATGCTGGCATTATAAATTATGGGACTAAGCTCCAATACCATTTAAAAAGATTCACTATCATCCCTTGATGATTCAGTATCATCCCTTTCTGACCAGGGAAACTGGTCCTGATACATCTGCTGTGTGGGTCTTACTTGTCAATATTCTATGTGTAAGGAAAGGAGGACAGCTCTGGGTAGAAGGAAAATACGTACTGGCTGTTTACATGTGGACAGAAATGAGGCCTTTAGCGAATCTGTTTTACTAACTAATGACAAACAAAATTAAAATAATTATTAATAATTGTATTATGTATCACATGTTTTTTAAACAAGAATTTAAGAGATGTGCAAGGCAAGCGTCATCCCTATTTCATGAGTGGAAATTGAGGGCTATAATAATTCAGTATGAAGTAGGAACAGATTCATCACAGGCAAAAATAACCTGTTAATAATCTGATCAAAATATCAAATAATTTTTTCATTTAAAATTAAATTTTACAGGTGAGTGTGGTGGCACAGCTCTGTAATTCCTGCCCTTGGGAGGATGAGGCAGGAGGATCACTGTGAGTTCAAGGCCAGCCTGGGCTACACAGTGAGTGCAAGGCCAAACCTGTCTTAACAAAACAAAACAAAACAATTAAATTAAATTTTGCTTTTTATATATTCTTCAGTCATTATTCCTGGTTATATTTTCAGATTTAAAATCTGTGGCCCTTTGGGTAAATTATTTAGTGTCTCAGAGCTTCAGTTGGAGTTTGCAAAATGAAAATTAATGACATTTACCTTCTGTGGTCAAGAGAGTACATGAGAGTTATGAATGGTCCTCGTCCATGGAGATCCCAGTGCAGGAGCACCTGGAGAGCAGGTAGTAAGGAGTAACTAGTATTTAATGAACACTGTCACACTGGCAGTGATGGTGACAGTGTCTCCTGGGCTTACACTGCTGTGTGCTTCTCATTGCTGCCATGCTGGGGTCCCCCAGAAGGCCTGATGCTAAACATCATATCATTGTGCATTTGTTAACTCTTTCAAGGGCTCAAGATATCTTTCGCCAGGCAATGAAATCCCCAAATGTGCTCCTCCATGTGCTTTCACCGCAAAACCGTGAACAGTATGAAAAATCAGTCATTGGACCTCTTAACATTTTTGGTAACAATGATGGCGTTTCGAGAACAAAGGCGCTGCCTCCTGTCCATGGCAAATCGGGACTAAAGACAGTAAATCTCACAGGAATAAATAGTCCTGAAGCAGATCCATCACCTTCCCTGCAACAAAGCAAGAGCCCCAGAGTACCAAGACTAGGAAGAAAGCCTTCTTCTCCCTCACTCTCCCCTCTCATGGGGTTTGGCAGCAAGAAACATGCAAAGAAAATTAAAATTGACCTAAAGAAAGGTAATTATTAAATTATGCTTAATAGCATTCTATTATTGTAACATGTAAAATTGGTTAAGAGAAATGCATTAAGGCTAATTTAGTTAATTCTCCCTTCATTTAATTGTATCAAAGAATGGATCTAAGTGTATACTTAGGTAACTTGAATTTCTTAAAATTGTAGTACTTTCTTCTTTTCTCTTGCAGCGTATAGATTATTTGAAACAAGAAAATAAAGACATGTTGAGGAGTGGAAAGAATCATTGCAAACTTGATAGAAGCAGAGCAGTATTGTGTTATAATTTAATACTAAGTAAACACTAGAATTTGGTTGTCCCAGTTTTCAATGCAATTAGTGATTTTTGTGAAGATCCATCAGATTCCAGTATACGTTTTCTGGTTCTCTAGGACATCTTTTTTGATCAGCAAGAAGTTTACGTTTCAGAAAGCAAATATATTCACTTTTTGGCCTTTTGGCTAAGATCAAGTGTAGATAGCAAATATATAATTGTTAATTTCACTGATTCAACATTACATTTGTCCAAAACATACCTAATTTCATTTTAAAAACATGTATACTCTTTTCCCTTTCACCTTCTTAACATTTTCCATTTCAAATGCAGATGAGTGAGACTAAGTCATGTGTGTGTATGCATACTTATGTAGTATTACACACACACACCACAGCATCCATGCACATCCATGCTTTTGTTCATTTTTAACCTGTGCCTGATGTTGTCTTCCACTGTTGCAACCTTTTAAAATTCTGTATTTCTCAAGACAACTCAAAAGAAACCAAGACCTTGTAGATTCTTGACATAATTAATAGAGAATTTCTTGGTCAGAAGGTAATTTTGGAATTACTATTAATGTATTTTAAAAATAAGTAACATGTCTTTTTTAACTGTTCTAATAAAATCTATTCTGAAGATTGTTTGATCAAAATTTCATTTACCTTTAAATATACTATACTGGGAATAAAATTTATTAGGCAAGAAATACTCAAGTGTGCTTAGAAATTAGAGTTTTTCATTGTTATTTGTTGTATTTCTATACAAGTAACCTAGCTGTATATAAGACACAAAGCTGAGTGCTCTGATGACAGAAAGATAAATCAGTCACAGAATCACTTTAAAAATCTATCAGAAAGTCTTGCATGAAAAAAATAAAGAATATGACATCAGAGCTCAACTTTGGAAAGATTAATCTGAAAACAAAAAGATATACTGAAAAAAAAGACCAATATAGAGTCAGTAATTAGTGCATCACCTCTATCTAAATGAGAAAATATAATATGCATGCCTTAATAGATGAATGGTTATAGGAAGAAAAAAAAAGAAATTACAACTGTAGTATTGCTCAGGTTTTCAGCCAAGGAAACATGCACAATGGGAACACTATTGATAGAAGTTAGAATTTTAAGTAGACTAGGGTATTTTAAAAGACCAGGACCTGTACTGGAGAAGGGGTACATGGTGATATTGGAAGCACCAATAATCATGTCTGGAAACTGACATTCGTAAGTGACATTAAGAACAAAGAGATAAGGGGCTAGGGATTTAGCTCAGCAGCACAGCGCCTGCCTGGCAAGCGCAAGGTCATGAGTTCGATTCTCAGTACCAGAAAAAAAACAAAACAAAAAAAAGAGCAAAGAGATCTAGCATATGCCATCGAGAGATGATTTTAGAGCCAAGACTGACAGGGGTAAGAAATCTAGCAGACAAACTGGTCTAGAAGAAAGGCTTGGGGAACATCTGTATTTATGCGGGAGGACAATGGTATGAGTTAGTGACAAATGTAAATGATCAGACAAGTCGAAAAGTAATCAGAAAGTAAAGACATTAAAACATAGAGAGAGTGAATCTCAGAAAATTATTGGTGGAAATGCCAAAGCTAGATAAGAAGCAAAGATAAAGGATGGGAAATATTACTGAGTGTGATCATGGGTGTGTGTCAGTCAGCTTTTCATTAGAATAATAGAATACCTGAAGTTCATCCTAAGAAGAGAAAGTGTGTTTTAGCTCCCCAGGTGTGGAATCCATGGTTGTTCCCTGGTGGCTTTGGGTCTGTGGTGAGATAGTTCATCGGGGTGGGAATGTAGGGACTGCAAGCATCCTACTGTGTGGCCTCCAGGAGGCAGAGGAAAGGAAGGGACCAGGATCCTTAAGCCCTCATCTAGTGTTTGTTTTTAGTGACCTAGCACCCTTCCACTGGGCCCCACTCCTACAGGCTCCTCCACCTCACAGGAGTGCCCAGGCGGGGGCCCAAGCCTTCCATATGTGGGCCTGGGGGGAACACTTACCCAAACCATAGCAATAGGTCACTAGAGACTGGAGCCTGAAGAAGCAGTAAGACTGAGGCATATCATCACTGGGGTAGGAATCTGAGCATAGCTTTAGGCAGAGGGAAAAATACACTGGAAGGGAGAAACTGGAGATGCAAGAGAACAGGCGGAAGTAGCTGACAGGACAGTGGTGCAGCAGTTCAGATTTCAGGACACAGGCAGAGGAGTGAGCCACACATTGGCCAGCTCATCAAGAGACTGGCAAAACTCACTTCACACAGCCTTTTGCTTCTCAGGAAAGTATGGAGTTGGGTTAGGGTTTACAGAGAATCAGTCTCCTGGGTACGTGGATAACATGTACACTTCTTCCACAACCTGAATAGATTTGAAAGTGTTACACATGTATATTTGAACCTAAATTCAGTTTGATACAACTTTGGTCTGACAGGAAGTGCAGCCTCTATTTGAAACCCAAACAACTGAAGCATACTTAAAATGTGCAGTTCAAATATTTTTAGTTATTCGACAGTACTCTAAGTTAGGTCATTTTTACTATAATATTGAATGTAATATTCCTCATGCTGAAGGTGACTATGCATTTTCTGGTCTTATGCTCTAGGTCCTGAAGGACTTGGTTTCACTGTGGTTACCAGAGACTCTTCCATTCACGGTCCAGGTCCAATTTTTGTAAAAAACATTTTACCAAAGGGAGCAGCAATAAGAGATGGCCGCCTACAATCAGGCGACAGAATTTTGGAGGTAAAAATTGAAATTCATCCCTTCAATAAAATACTTTTTGGGGAAAGAGACAGTTGTATGAACATATACAGTTGTCTCTCAGTGTCGCTGGGGCCCTGGGCAATACTAAAATCTGCAGATGCTCATGTTCTTTATAGTGTTACCGTATAACCTAGACATATCTTCTTGTATACTCGAAGCCATTACTAGATTACTTACAATACCTAATACAAAGTAAATGCTATGTAAGTAGTTGTCGTGCTATATCCTTTAGGGAATAATTACAAGAACAAAATCTGTTCAGGTTCAACAGGTATATTTGCTTTCCAACATTTTTATCTGAGGTTGGTTGAATCCATAGTTACTAAGCCCATGGATATGGAGGGCTGACTATATATTAATATTTTATTGTGAATATAATATATATTGAAAATTATTACTTGTAGACAAGGTAATGACTTTAATTATAAAATTAGTTAACGAGCAGCCTAACTTTGTAAATCCCTAATGAGGTCAGTGAGATGGAGCCAAATCATAATGAAAACTTTATCTTCTCTTTTACTTGTACCTTTCAGACCCCTGAGAAATTTGGATTGACTCCAGAAGTTCATCATCCATTCAGTTAGGGCTCGAATTTCAAAGTCACAGCCAAGCCATTACAATAGCCAGTTAATTATTTAGGGTGGGCCCATGTGTGTCTCAGGTTGATCCATGCCTTTCCAAACCTGTATCACCTTTGCTCAATTAGTAATGAAAATACTTATGGTATAAGGGGCTTTGCAGAGAGAAGCATTTACAATACCCAAGACAAGAGGGTTATTCTTTTTGTATTTATTTTTGTTCAGTAGCATCACATTGGTGTTTATATATTGCCAATGTACCTTCTCAGAAATCACTTGTTGATACTGCCTGGTGTGTTTAATTCTCTTGTTGCATTAAAAACAGTGCTACAACTCTCAACTAGTCCTAGATCAGAAAGCAAGATGTACCAAATGATGAATGTAGTTTCAAATTAGAAATTCCAGGAAGCTATGACGATCTGCTAACTATAGCTTCCTAGACATGTGGGAAACTTTAGAATTGTACTGAAATACACATATTTTCTGAGGAATTTGCAACATAATAGTAGCTTACTTCTGCTTGTTATATTGGGTGCCAAGTAAGCATCTAAAGTCTCCTTCCTACCTATTTGACAAATCAGTCTTGGTACCTGCCAGTTTGATTTTCCTCTCCTGAGAATGTGCTGTCTTGGGGAAAATGCTGGTGTTTACTGACTGACTGAATCTGTCCAGGATCGTAATCTAGAGAGTGGTATATTATTGGAAATGTACTTGAGTTTTGCCTGTGGGTTTAGCATTCGTCTTCACGCAATTTCACTGGTCATGGGAACCCATTGTTTTGCTCTAAATAAGCACATAGGATAGAAGGAGATAGCAAGTGGTTGACTCTAGCTATTCAATGGCTGCCTTTATTAGGTGAATGGCAGAGACGTCACTGGACGGACACAGGAAGAACTTGTGGCCATGCTGAGGAGCACCAAGCAGGGAGAGACAGCGTCACTGGTCATTGCCCGCCAAGAGGGAAATTTTCTGCCCAGAGAGCTGGTAAGGTTCAGATCTCAATCACACTGAATTCTCAGTGTGGGATTTAACACACTCGTTGAATTCCTATGAGCTCAGTGCTATATTCTAGATCACGATCTTAATTCAACTGAATTTCAGTATTTTATCCCATTTGGGATATCATATTTTTAGGGCTTTAATACAATGAGGTGGGGATATGGAAACATGTACATATATATGATGGCATGAATTCAAATACATTTTAATACTACATGCTGCACAATATTCACCTATTCAGTATAATATGTGTTGAGTATATGTTAAGTCCTGCATAAGACATAGGCAGCAAAATAGTTCATGGCGTTCTTGAAAGGGCCTAAAAGGAAATAAACATATAACAAATACCCAAAGCAGAGATGAAGCTTATAAAGGGAAAGGGCAGGGTAGTCCAGCAATGCAGAAGAGAATGCACCCTGTTCTTGAGGAGGGATTTTGAGGAAGAGAATTCCAAATCTTATAAAAATGTCTGTTATTTCAGTGAAGGCAATGTAATCATTGTCCTGTCGATTACCATCTCCCTCCTGAATAAAGTGGGGACTGAGGGGAAGGATGAACTCTACCCGCAGTTCTCAGACCTTTGAGCCTACAAGCCCTGTGTACTGTCATAATTCTTAAGGACTCTAAAGAGCTGTTGTTTGTGTGCTATAGCTATCAGTGCTTACTGTATTAGAAATTAAAACAGAATGCATCAAAATGTATTCTAATATACTTTAACATAACTATAATAAAGCCATGATGTGTTCACATAAAAAAATTATTCTGTATATTTTCCTTTAAAAATGTGTGCTCTTTGACAGATAACTATACTTCTGACAATGTGTCCTAAATTGGTGATCAAGAGTGGTGAAAAACTTCATGTACACCAATTTTTCCCCAAAACCCAATCTATTGTAATAATATAGTTGAGCCTATACAACTATAAGGTATTGGTTAGCTAAATAACTAGATATTTCTCCAATGAAGTATAATAAGCACTTAAAATGGTCTCAGTGAGGAATTGTTAATAATCTGAGAAAACATCCATAGTGTAATGCTACATAACAAAGTAGGGAATAAAATACATGCAGTGTGAAAAAATTATAGTGAAATCTTTTTAAAATGTAATTAGAAGGAGATGGACCAGAAATGTTGGGATTTACGAGAGATTTTCATACAATTAGATCACCAGAGCAGTGAGCTTTGATTGGGAGATTTAAGGTTATTTAGCCTGAAGAACAGAAATTTTCAGAGATCTGGTCATTGCTAGTAAATATATGAAGACATATTATATTGATTGAAAAGTAGGCTTAATGCATTTCTTTAGACAGTTTATCTCCATTAATCTACTTATGCATTAATTCAGCAACTTACTGAATATCTGCTTGGTACAAACTTGTAAATGTCTAGGGATGCAAAAGCCATTAGGACTCATTTCCTGCCCTCATTGAGCTTGCCTCAAAGCCAATGGCTGGGAGAGGATAATGCTATACCTGTTGTACCTGTTGAAGAAGAAAATGTGCTACTTAGAACCTTCAGACAGCCTGCCTCACCTTTTCTCAGTGGTGCTCTACAATGATTTTCCCATTAGGTAAGTCAGATAAACAAAACAACCTCTAAGATACTTCTCAGTCCTCAGATTCAGCTGCGCTTACGCCAATCACCTCTTTTATGTTTTAATACTTCTTATATGAGCTCCCAAAGCCACTTTGCTTTGCCACATTACCTTGGCATGGAATTGTATTCTTCCATTCCTGTCTTTCCCATCATACCCTATTAAATGTTCTGAGGAGATCTGTTGTAAAATAGAGACAAGAAGAATGAGTGATAGCTATAAGGATACAACCCTCACCTGCTTTCCTTCCCTTTGTTCCTGCATACCCAACCATCCTGAAAGACAGAGTCCTGAGCTGCTACCTCATCTCCTTCCTGAAATTCTTACTCTTCCCAAAAATAAATGCTATAGAAACTTTAATTTCAGATTCTTTCTCTTCTGAATATAGATGGTCTATCTTTTAGTCCTTTGTTTACCTAAAGACCTTGGGCTTTCTCTACAAGGATCAAAGTGAAGAATAAACAAGGGACACCACGTGCATACAGGAGAAAGCCCTTTATTATAATGTATGTCTAAATGTCCCCCCAAAACCTCATGCAGTTATGGGGTGGGCTTCTACAGTTCGTGATTGATTCATGGTTCAATGCTGGGATTAAAGGTGGGAGTGCTACACCCGCCCTGGGGTGAGGAGCCTGCATACAATATAAAGGATGGAAAGGGACTTGCTGCTGCTGCTGCTGCTGTTCCTCCCTTTTGCTCTTGCTGCTTTTGCTGCCTTCCCCTGTCATGAACTGTTGCCCTCTGCCGTGTGCCACCCTGCCTTGGAACCAGCAAAGTATGGACTGAATCATCTACAAATTGTGAGCTAAATAAACCTTTCCTTCCTTAAATTTGGGCATCAGGTATTTTGTCACATCAATGAGAGAAAGTAACCACCCTTTCACTTCTTGTTCAATCATTTGGTTGCTAAACATAAAAACTGAGAAAACTTCAGTGAGACTTCACCCTTATTTCTGAGATAGGGAAGAAGTTTTGCTGTGCATGCTGTTAAAGTGTGGTCCCAGAAGAATAAATCTTCCTCTGAAAGAAATTTTCAAGTCAACCTTTATGCATTCATGCAAAAGAACCTAATGACAGAACGCTTGTAGGTAATTTAAACACGTGCAGTCACTCCCTGTCTGACAGTTCCTGATATATTCTCATATATTCACTAGAATTCCTGACTCCACAACTAATTCCTTTTTTCTAGCTTTCTCTTTCCCTCCCCAGGCTAATGGGGAAAGGGACATTTACATTATCCTAGTTTGTAACCCAGTATGCATTTTTCATCATCTGGAAATTAGCAAAAGGAATAATAGAATTTTCAAACCAAAAGGAGTAGTATAAACCAGTAATTCCAATCTAATTTTGCAGATGAAACAACAGAGGTCCAGTGTAGTAGAGTAACTTACCCCATGTGTCACAGTAAGCTGAAGCCAAAGGCCCAGGTCTTCTAACCATTACCATCCTCTCTGGACTTAACTTCTAGAATGCAGTTTTTGTGTATACTATGATACTTAGCTGTGTGACTATAAAACAGGACACAAAATCATTCTGGGACTCAGTTTCCTAATCTGTATCATAAGTTCTTTGTGAGGATTAATGGAGAATACATGGAAAGCTCTCAGCATCATCTCTGGGAAATTGTAAATTCTTACATTGTCTATAATTGTTTCTTCTAGTATATTACCACTTTTGTACTGCTAAATACAGTACTATCCTTTAGATATATGATGGGGTAAATAGATTTATTCAGGCTTTCTTGGGACTAACAATTTTTTTAACAATTATTGTTTTCTTATTATTTTAAAATGTATAGCTAGATGTGGTGGTGCATGCCTGTAATCCCAGCAATCAGGAGGCTGAGGCAGGAGTATCATTGAGAGTTTGAGACCAACCTGGGCTACAAAGTGAGCTCAAGGCCAGCCTGAACTGCGTAGTGAGACCTTGTCTCAAAAAGACAAAAAATATAAATAAATAAAATGTATAGTGGGATCAAAAATACTGAATTATAAACAAAATTTTTAAAACCATCTGCTTGTGATTTTTGTAAGGGAGGTATTTTCTGTGTATTATTTCACTCCTGTTTAATAGAATTTATTGAAATTTGATTTATATCCCAGAAATGACATCAGAACATGAACCCACCAGGGAGCATATTAAATTAATTGTCCAACTATGTGATAATGAATGTAAATAACTTGTTTTTTATTGTTTTATACAAATTATGGAGGACATGTGGTTAGTATTCAAACTCTTAGCACTTTCTGAAAAGTATCTACACTCAAAAATATCAGACTCTTCACTATACAAAAATGAGAAATATTCTTTGTAATCACAGAAAAGCAAGAGTCTTTGAGGGTTATGAGAACCTAACTCATGTGGCTCCTGAATCATCTTTGTTTTGGAGGAAAAAGGAATTTTTTAAAGCCCAAATGCCTGCCTTGAACCCAAACGCCTGCTAAGAAACCAGAAGCATCTGGGAATTTTGAATGTGGGTCATGTTTGCATGCTTGGGACTACTTCTGTGGGAATTACTTCATAGTGTGGCATGTACTGCGTGCTTTGAAAGAACAAAATGAAGAACGTGTGTTATAGGATACATCTTTGTGTTTTCCTTTCAAAAACTGAAAAGTGGTATCACTTTCGTCTCTTCACCCTTATCATGCTTGATACACACGCTTGACTTTCCATTGAAAATCTGGCAGGATGAAGGAAGAACAACACTTCCTGCTTTTGTTTTGTTCTATCTCCTTTGAAGAAAATAAACTGTGATTATTGTTTTCCTATTCTGAGAAACTGTCCTTTTCCATTTTTTAAAGCCTTGCTCTTTCATGAGCTCTATACTTGCTGAACAGCATTGCTCTGCCTATTTTCTGAACAGCTAAATCTTCCTACTTCACTTACAGCCAAGGGAGCATGTGGTCAGCAGTTATCCAGGAAGTCCCAATATAGGATCATCTGTGGGAAGTGACCCTCTCTCATTCCAGAGGCCTCAAATCCATTTCCTGGTCATTTCTCCTGACCTGCCCCTTAAGAGAACTGTGCTGACCTCTTCTATTTGCTGGTCCCTGCTCTCCCTCCTGAGCAGACACTTGCAACACAAAATCAACAGCCCAATTAACCAATCTTTCCATCTGTATGAGGCTGGGTTTTGCAACCCCACCACAACAATTTAGCTGTTTCCAGCATCCACCAAAAAAAAGTTATGCTTCAAAGGTGATCTTTCCAGAATCCCAGCCTGGAAAAACCCTTTGATGTCCTCACCCCCTGCTGGAGTGAGAATGTATTAAAGAGGCGTTGCATAAGGAACATTTCCGGAGACGGTGCTTTGAGATTGGCGGCCTTGGCAATAGAATCAAAAGGTGAGGTTGCTGTGCATTCTGCTCCCCTTAAAATAAAAACTCTACTG